TTTAAAAGCAGTTAGGAAAGTGAGAAGGCAGAGGATTAATCTGGATTATCCTTGCCACATTGGGACTAGTTTAATGCATCTTCACTGTTGAAATAATGCAGTTTGACACCACTTTAATTGCCCTGGCTCCATCCTACAGAATCCTGGGATTAATAGTTTGGTGAGGCAGCAGCAATCTTCAGCAGAGAAGGCGAAAGACCTTGCAAAACTACAGATCCCAGGATTCCATAGGATGGAGCTACAAACTGCATTATTTCTACAGTATAAATGGACCCCTAGATTGTGAAGTAGGGTCTCAGCCAACTTTTGTATAATTTGGGAGTGGAGAGATACACCCCATACACCCACTTTGAATCCTCCAAAGCCTCACTTTTTTATTGTGACATCTGTAAGTGAGCTATGGGTGTGTTGTTTTTTGCTACAACACCCAGAATCCCCCAAGCAAAGGATACTGGGAGTTGGAGTCCACAACCCCAATCTGGAGAAAAGAAGTGGGGCAATTAGACAGCCGTCTCTGCATTCGAGGCCATGCATCTCGCTGCACAGCTGGCCATTGGAGTGAAATCGTTCTCCCTATTCCTCTTTGGAGGAAAGTCAGCACACTTTGAACCCAAATATCAATTATATGAATTGGTGCATTAATAATAATAATAATAATAATAATAATAATAATAATAATAATAATAATACATCTTGCAAACTTTCAAAGCAACAAAGAAGCCAGTGGAGCTTCGAAAGCTTGCAACATGTATTTTGTGCATTTTGGTTGGTCCAATAAAGGTATCCCTGTTTTGGGGATGTTTTTGGCTGTTATTGTACTTTATTACATGGCCAACACAGCTAACCCTGCAAATAATAATAATAATAATAATAAATCTTGCAAGCTTTTGAAGCAACAGAAAAGTCAGTGAAGCTTCGAAAGCTTGCAACATGTATTTTGTGGATTTTGGTTGGTCCAATAAAGGTATCCCTGCTTTGTGGATGTTTTGGGGTTTTATTGTACTTTGTTACATGGCCAACACAGCTACCCCTAGAAAAATAATAATAATAATAATAATAATAATAATAATAATAATAATAATAAAATACATTTTGCGAACTTTCAAAGCAACAAAGAAGCCAGTGGAGCTTTGAATGTTTGCAAGATGTATTTTGTGCATTTTAGCTGGCCAATAAAGATATCCCTTGTGGATTTTGGATGTTATTGTAGTTTGCTACATAGCCAACACAGCTACCCTTGGAAATTATTATTATTATTATTATTATTATTATTATTATTATTATTATTATTTTGTTTAATGACCATTGTGTAGTTTGGAAGTTACTCCTGGAATCTCTACCCACTCCTCCCTACAGCTGCTGTTTTAATTCGGGGTTAAATTGCTTAAGTTGACCAATGGTGAGAAGAAAATCTTCTGTACTTTCCACATGCTCAGAGGTCCCCTTTCTCTCCCTCTTAAAAACCCACAACACATGTTTCCATGTTAAGCGTATAATGTGATATAAAAATTTAAATAAATCCACTGTGGCAAAATGAAGATTGAGTTACAGGGTGAAATATATATATATATATATATATATATATAATATACTGTGCCAAGTTGAAGATTGAATTACGTGACGGTAGACGGAAGCGGTTGAGGTTTTCCCACAGCGCTTTAAAAAACGAAATAGCCCATTAATTTTAAAAGCCTCTAGAGATGAAAGGAGGAGGGAAGGACCTTTTTGCTTAGTTTCAAAATATTACCAAACAGGAATAATAAAATAGCAATAACAGTTGTGATGATTATGACAATGATAGCTGGAACTGTGCTAAAATTACAGGCGGCCTTTCAAATCCACGGATTCTTTATCCAGAGATTTAAGCATTCAGAGCTTGGAAACATGCAAAAAAGATATCAATTCCAGAAAGCAAACCTTGATTTTGCCATTTTATATAAGGGACACGATTTTCTTATGCCGTTCTACAGTCAGCCTTCCTTATTCCTTATCCATGGATTTTTTTTTAATCCACGGATTCAAGCATCCATAGTTTAAAAATATTTTAAAAAATATATAAATTCCAAAAAGCAAGCCTTGATTTTGCCATTTCATATAAGGGGCACCATTTCGCTCTGCCATTGTATTTAATGGGACTTGAGCATCCATGAATATTGGACTCTGCAAGGATCCCGGAACCAAACTATAGCAGATATCAAGTGTATTTCATTGCATCTATATTTCTAGGATATAAATACCCCAAAGCCACCAGATCCCATCTGATCGTGTAAAGCTAAGCAGGGTCAGCCTTGGTTAGTCCTTGGATGGGAGACCGCCAATGACTAGCAGGTGCTGTAAGTGGAAGGAACTGGCAAAACCACCTCTGAATTTTCCTTGCCTAAGAAAACCCTGTAAAATTCATGGAGTTGCCATAAATTCACAGGCGACTTGAAGGCACAGAAACACACAAGAGCTGCCCTTGGTCCTTTTCCTCCAAATGTTGCAGACTGGAACTTCCAAAGTAGGAACAAAGGTGCCTTTTTGGACTGCAACTCCCAGAACTTGGATTCTGGGATTGTTAGTTCAAAAAGAAGAACCTTCCCCAAGCCCAGAAGGACTGACAATGCATTGAGGAATTTGCAAAACCACCTCTGAGTCTTCCTTGCCTATGAAAAATTCATCATGGGATTGCCATAAGTCGACAGGCGACTTGAAGGCCTCCACACATCTCTACCTCTTGTCTCTGATTTCTTTGGTGCGGACGCTGGGCTTGCTGGAGGGAAGGAACGCGGAGAAGGGGAAAGTGGCTGAGGATGATTTCCTCCGAGATATAATGCTTCTTTATGTATTGATTTACTTTATTAAAGCAAGAGGAAGAAGGAGGAGAGGTCATCTTAACCTCAGTTATTCAGTAACAGGCTGATCTTGCTTTGTGGATGACAAGATGGGTGACGCTTGGCTTGAAAGCAGTCAATGTCAAAAGCATCAAGGGGGCTTAGTAGACCCCAGGCTAAACGTGAGCCAACAGTGTGACGCGGCGGCTAAAAAAGCCAATGTGATTCTAGGCTGCATCCATAAAAGTATAGTGTCTAGATCAAGGGAAGTAATAGTGCCACTCTATTCTGCTTTGGTCAGGCCTCTCTTGGAATACAATGTCCAGTTCTGGACGCCACAATTCAAAAAGGATGTTGAGAAGCTGGAGCGTGTCCAGAGGAGGATGATCAAAATGGTGAAGGGTCTGGAAACTATAAAGCCCTATGAGGAGAGACTTAGGGAGCTGGGTACATTTAGCCTGGAGAAAATAAGGTTAAGAGGGGACGTGATGGTCATGTTTAAATGTCTGAAGGGATGTCATATTGAGGATGGAGCAAGCTTGTTTTCTGCTGCTCCAGAGAATAGGATAAGGATGGATGCAAACTGGAGGAAAAAAGATTCCAGCTCAACATTAGGAAGACCTTCCTGACAGTAA